AGAAATCTCTGTGGTTATTATTGTAGACAATTACCTCTTCAAATATTATGTATGTCTGTGCCTTTGGGATCACAAGTAAAGCGTGTATGCACACATGTGCCAGTATTAAGGGCTTAAACCCAGAGCATGGGTGCTTTCCCTGAACTATTGGGCTCAAAGCTAGCACTCTACCACATGAACCACAGCTGCATGTATGGCTTTTTGCTGGTTAACTGGAGTTAAGAGTCTCATGGACTTTCCTGCCAAGGCTGGCTTCAAACCACAATCCTCAGATCTCAGCCTCCTGAGAAGCTAGGATTAGAGGTGTGAGCCACCAGCACTTTGCCCAAGAACACTTTCTGGAAAGCATAGGAGTTGGGAGTCATAGGAGCTGAATCCTACAGTAGTCTCTTACTGCCAGGATGACTTTGGGTAAATCATTTAAATTCTTTGAGTCACTGGTTTCACTTGGAGATAGGAGATCAAAATGAGGACAGTGCAGAAGATTAAACCCTACATAACTCTTAGTGCTGTGACTGGCACATATCACCAGATCACTACTGCTGACTTAAATATAGGCTCTCAAAGCAAGAGGGGAAGATGCAAATTTTGTGGGGCATAGTCAAAGCTCTAACCAGGGTGTTGGCTTGTTGCTGGGATATATAGTCGCCAGTCATGGTTGCAGAGATATCACCATAACTATTAAACACTGGCTGTGCTTAGATGCTTGGTTTTAGAATCTATTCTTATTAAAAGTCACCAGACAAGATACTAAGTAGGTTGTGGCCCTAATGGTTGAGAGCTGCCTAGCAAGCCTGGGACCCTGAGACAAACCCCAGTGCTGCCAAGTAACAGTAGATTCTAGCCTGGTACCTCATACCTATAATCTTAGCTGCTCAGGAGGCTGAGATCTGAGGATTACAGTTCGAAGCCAGCCCAGGCAAGAAAGTCTGTGAGACTCATTAACCACCAAAGAGCTGAAAGTATAGGTGTTGCTCAATCTGTTGAATGCCATTCTTGAAAGAAAAAAAAAAAAAAGTCAAGCCAAGCCAGGAGCTGGTGGCTCATGCCTATAATCCTAGCTAGTTGAGATGCTCAGATTTGAGGACTGTAGTTCAAAGCTAGCCCAGACTGGAAAGTGGTAGCATATGAGCCTCGAAGGAAAAAAGCTAAGGGATTGCACCCAGGTCCCAAGTTCAAGCCCCAGTACCAACACAAAAAAAACCAACCATGGAAGTGGCGCTGTGGCTCAAGTGGTAGAGCGCTCGCCTTGCGCTGAAGAGCTGAGGGATAGCGCCCAGGCCCAGAGTTCAGGCCCCACGACCGACAAAAAAAAAAAAACAAAACCAACCACCACAAAAATCAACCTGACAGATTCTAAGCGGTGGCAGAGGCGGGCCTGAAACTCTAGCTATATGGGTAAATTATTTCAGTAGGTAGAGGGGGCTGTCCCATCCTGGCCCTGTCCCCATCCTGGCCCTGTCCCCATCCTGGCCAGCATTCCTGCCTCATACTCACGGAAGTAGCACTTCCTGGATGTTGTTCCAGATTGCTTTGCCTCCCATGATTATTGTCAACTGGGTTGTCAGTTCAAGAAGACAGCCTCCAGGATCACACTAGGGAATGTTAACAAAGAAAACAATTTAGATGACTGGAACCTAGAATACGGTTGTTACATTTCCTTTTTTCTGACATTCTGTCCAATATATTGGGCTTACACCTGTAATCTTAGCTCACATCTCAGAGGCTGAGATCTGAGAATCATGGTTCAAAGTCAGCCTGGACAAGAAAGCCTGGGACATTCTTATCTCTGATTAACCACCCAAAAGCCTGAAGTGGAGTTGTGGCTCAAGTGGTAGAGCACCAGCCTTGAGTGAAAAAGCTCAAGGACAGTGCCCTGAGTTCAAGTCCCAGGACCAGCAAGCACACAAATCTAAGGACTAGACAATGAAGAGAGTATTCATTAGGCAAGTGAAACACAATGCAGCTAAAAGTGTCAAGAGAATCAAACAGTTCTGTCTTCCCACCTCTTCATTTCTGTACTTGCCCAGCCAGTACACTGGGTCTCCCGGGTAGCCCACAAATTTGCCCTTGAAGAAGGCGATGTAGAAACAGGAGGAGTAGTAGTTCACAAACTGGAAGAGGAACATCTTCATGGTTAGGCTGTTTTCGTAATCCGTCTGTGTCCTCGGCAGTTCTGTGAGGAAAACAAAGGAAAGGAAGGTAGGGAGTTACGCTGTGAACAGCTTTGGAAGCCTCATCAGACACCCGTACACGAGCAAGCATGCTGGGAAAAAGTATAATTCACACTGTTTCCACTTAAGCTGTTTGCAACTCCTTAATATAGCCACTGCGTTAATTCCAAGTTTACACATTGCTACATGTTCTCTCCTCACAGGAGTACTATATCCAGGGCACAGGCATACATACACATCTCTGAAACTGCGACTGGTGACTGAGTATCCCAGGAATCAGAGAACCCTGGTTAAAGCTTTGACTCTTCCCACGAATCCTGCAACCTCTACTCCTCCTTTTAGAGTATACGTTTGAAAGTCATGAGTGATCTGTTGATATGTGCCAGTCACTGCACTATACACACATACAGGCATGCACATACACATGTCACGAACACATATACGCATATGCGTGTACACAAATATGTACGTGTGAGGTGTGAGTCCATATTGTTTATATATAAACATACGCATGAATATGTGCCAGCATAATTATGGACATAAAGAAGTAAAATGTATTACATAGCTAGATCACATATATTTTTTTTCCCCAACAGTTCTTTAAAATTTACAAACACATGACCGAAGGTTTGGAACCTTCTTGAGTACATACATGTATTACATCTGTATGTATATGTATTTTCAGCTATTGCGTACAATTTACAGATACTATGTTATCAAATGGAAAGCCTTTAACTGAGGCCCACCGAGGCTAGGATACAGAGCCAGGGAAACAATGCTTAGCACAAAGGCCAGCGCTGCTGAGGATATTAAGGAGCAGCATGAGGAAGCCACATGGCGCTGGCCGTGCCCATCCTTCCCGAGACACAGGAACGCAGTTGCCCCTGGAATGATGACCCTATTCCACTTAGTTGCAATAAAAAGACTATTTGCTTTCAGCAACAGAGTACGTGATCTAATGTAATTGAAAATATTATTCAGCCCTGATGTGTTTACACAGAGCTAGGACGTTATAATGATCGTGTTTGCATCGTCCCTTTTGTGAATACAAAGCTAGAGATCATGTCTATACAGACTGGCGGAAATACCTTTCCACTTGAAGATTTCTAGGCAATTGGAGCTTACAGGAATTGAAGTGCCTACAAGGTACAATCTGAAGTTTAACCAGGAAGCTACAAATGTCTCAAATTGCTTATGTGAGCTGGCTACCAATGTCTCATGCCTGTAATCCTAGCTACTCAGGAGACTGCGATCTGAGGATCTTGGTTGGAAGCCAAACTGGCAAACTTGGTAAGACTCTTACCTCCACCAGAAAACTGGAAATGGGCTCAAGTGGTAGAATGTTAACCTTGAGTAATAAAATTTCAGCTAGTACCCAAACTGAGTTCAAGCCCCAGGACCATCTCACACGCACACCAAGTTGCGCGAGTTGAGGGCAGGACTTACCGAAGTTTGTGATCATGATAGCCACTTTCTCATACACAGTGTTGAGAATCATGATGATGATGAAGCTGATGATGCTTGCAGTGATGGATGTGGCTGTCTGAGGGGTCAGGTACTTCTGGATTGGGTCTGTCCCATTGACTGGGGGAAGTTTTGCAGAAAATACAATGAACACGGAGAGCCTGTAGACAATGATCCCAATAACAGAAGCAATGATCAACAGGATCTGAAAGCAAATAGATACAAAGCATGAGGCTCACCAATAAGGAGAAGATCTATTTTTTCTTGGTGTTAGTGGTACTTTGGTTTCAACTCAGGGCCTTGGCTTGCTAAGATAGGGGCTTTGATTCTTATCTCCAACTAACCACCAAAAACCCAGTGGTAATGAAGTAGGGGGGATCAGGTCTGACTGGTGCCATATTGGCCACATGGTAAATGAGAGGGTCTGGTATCTTGTCTTCATGCTGGGAGAAGGTGACACCCCTGCCTCCCAGGTGATGGGTATGCTCAAATCCCAGCAGTGGGCTCTTGGCTGATGGGTTGCTAGACCTGTCCAGAGCCTGGGAATTTCCTGTGACCCTGTCCGCTGCCCTGACCCTATTTAGGCCTGGAGGAACATAGGCACGATTACACCATTCCATGTGTCTCCATGTTCACATCCTGTCTCCTGTCTCTTCTGTGGTCACCATAGCATCCCTATTCAGCTCTCCAATGGAGCTGAATTGGCTTGTTGGCATTGTTTTTCTCTTTCCTCTCGGGTCTATTTCCTCACTGTAATAAAGACTCCAAGATTCCACCTTTCAAAATGTGGCTTCTCTGAATTCTCACCTTACAACAGTAGAGCTAGCCCTTGAGTGGAAAAGCTAAGGGGTATCTCCCAACCCTGAATTCAAGCTTCAGTAAGCCCCAGTACCAGCACAGAAAAAGCCCCCAAACCCTCAGAACACTTAGCATAGATAGTCCAGGCACAGGAAATATGCTACAAGAAAATACTAGCTTTGATTACGATGACTGAATTGTCAAAAAGCTGTTTTTCTTCCTTGTAAGCAGTGTGCTTATAGAGCAGACAGTGTATTTCCCCTGTAATCTTGCTAACCAGCTCTTTTCCCTTCACACTTAAATCTTGTGAAATGGGTAGCGTGTGTAAATTAGTTAAGGCTGAGAAACATCAGAAGATGTACTGAGTTTCCTTCGCCCAACACAACACATAAGCCATTTAAATATTACACGTTTCTAAAGTGTACCAGGATTATTTTTAGAATGGTTGAGTGATTATAATAGTATTCCTTAAGCACTTCCTGTTCACCTGGGCGCATGTATATAAATCGGTGGAATCCCTGGAATTCTGTAATTATAATTCCTTTACAGGTGAAGAGTTAGGATGGAGAGAGTAATCAAGTAGAGAGGAAGCAGGCAGGAAGTAAAAGAGGGGGACCCCCCCCAAACTCCATGACCCCTGCTGATACCGCCTCTCACATGGCTTTAGGACAGGAATTCAGATTCATTCCAAAGCTTTCGCAAGCTTGCATCATTTCCATTCTTTTTACAGAGTGTGGAATTTCTCCAGAGGAACAAAGTATGTTTGTGTGTGCCTGTATAATATATTGGGGTTTGAGAGGGTCCAGGTACTCTCCTTCATCTTTTTTACTCAGGACTGGTGCTCTAATACTTGAGCCACATCTCCATTACTGGCTTTTTGCCAGTTCACTGGAGATAAAAGTCACACATACTTTTCTATGTTGGCCTCAAACCTTGATTCTCAGATCTCAGCCTCCTGAGGAGTAGCTAGGATTACCAGGGTGAGCCATTGGCATTCAGTGATGGTTTTTGTCTTTTTTTTTTTTTTTTTTTTGCTAATTGTGGGCCTTGAACTTGGGACCTGGGTGCTGTCCATGAGTTCTTTTTGCTCAAGGGTAGCACTCTACTACTTGGAGTCACAATGCCACGTCCCCTGGTGATGGTTTAACAATTTTAAAAAAGGAATTTATTATCGTGTGTGGTTCAAAGTATGATTTAGCCTATACTTGTCCCTCCAAAAGTGTATAAGGATTCCATGACCACTTCCTGGCTCATCTCTACTTCACCTGTGGATTTCTAACGCCTTCTTCTCATAACTCAGAGAAGAGGTGGGCCTTCATGTCTCATTGTCTCATTGTTCCTGAGCCAACAAAAGCCTCACCAAATTACATTACTATTATGATTTCATTAATAAGCAAAATACCGAGTGTTTTAAGTGCTGGTATTTTAGAAGTGTCATCTTTTTTTGAAGGTTTCTTCACTGTTAGGAATCTTCCTTCCCTCTCTTTTTAGTTCTTATTAGCTTCCCCCCCCCCCTTTATTTTTGTGCGTGCTGATACTTGGGTTTGAACTCAGGGCCTAGACTGCTGTTCCTGAGCTTTTTTGCTCAAGGCTAGCACTCTACCACTTGAGTCATAGCTTTTTTGGTGGTTAACTAGAGATAAGAGTCTCACAGGGACTTTCCTGCCCTCGCTGGCTTTCAACTGTGATCCTCAGGTCTCAGCCTTCTGAGCTAGGTTCATTAGTGTGAGCCACCGGTGCCAAGCTCCTAGTAGCTTTTTATTAAGGATATTTCTAGGCATTTTTATTCTTCTTTGTGCTTCACACAGAACTGTAAAATCCTGAACCACTGACCTGTCTGAACCAAATGTGAGGGAAGAGTATGGAAGAATCACCATGAATATTAAGATGCTGAACCCCTTGGGAATTCCCCATGTGATAGCCAGGCAGGCTTTCTGAAAACCTCTGTTTCTATGAGATTGTAGCGTCTCCAAGCTTGGCTTTAAATCCCCTTAATATCTAACGTTAGATTCTGAGAACTGTGCCACTCAATTAAAGAAATGTAAAAGTCACCATTATGACAGACTCCTACCCAAAAGAAGACAGCACTAGCACAGAGGGTCACTCGAATACATTTTCCACAGGCTGTGAAGGGGATACGTTCTTCTTCCTGTAAAGAAAGAAACAAATGCAAGAGGATGAACTTCTCCAAGAAAATTATTTTTTCTTCATCTGTCAATACCACCTCTTGAGCTTCATTTACAGAACAAAAACATGTAGTTTGAACTTATAGACGCAAAAAGCCATAATTACACATTGTTGTTAATAACTTCAGACAGACACAATAAGACACATGCTATGTTCATTTTAAAAACAGCTTTTATGGAAACTGCAAGCATGAGTAACAAACTATTTTTTATCTGCCAGGACCTGAGCTCAGAAGTCCATGCATCTGACAGTGCCAAGTCACATAGCCACACTAAGTAAACCCAAACTAACAGATGGAATAAAATCTATGAGGTAGAGACAAAAAACCACTACACACACACAAAAATAATCAATGAAACAAAAATTTAGTTCTTCAAGAGGATAAACCCTTAGTCAAGACTCAAAATCAGACACAAACATGAGGATATCACAATAAATACAAGTGAAACCCAAATAATCATTAGCTTATTTCAAACACCTTTACTGGAAAGCCTACTAGAAATGGATGTGTTCTTAGATCATCTCAAAATTGAGCCCAAATCGCAGGTGCCTGCTGGCTCACACCTCTAATCCTAGTTACTCAGGAGGGTGAGATCTGAGGATCACAATTCAAAGCCAGCCCAGGCAGGAAAGCCTGGAAAGACTCTTAATTAAGCACTCCCTTAAACACCCCTCTCCACCCCTGAAAAAAGCTGCAAGTAGAGCTGCAGCTCAACTGGTAGAGCACTAGGCTTGAGAAAAGCAGCCCAGGGATAGTGCTCAGGCCCTGAGTTCAAGCCTGTGGACTAGCACACACACACACACAAAAGTTAAGCCAAGAGGATATAAACCATCTAAACAGATCAATAATAACAACAAACAATGAGATTGGAATATAATAACCTCCCAACAAAGAAGAACCTGATGGGTTCACAGCCTAAGTCTCTAACATCTTTGAAGAACACCAGGGGCTGAGGATGTGGCCTAGTGGTAGAGGCTTACCTAGCATGCAAAGTCCAGGGTGTGATTCCTCAGTATCACTTCAACAGAAAAAGCCAGAAGTGGTACTGTGGCTCAAGTGGTAGAATACTAGCCTTGAGCAAAAGAAGCTCAGGGACAGTGCCCAGGCCCTGAGTTCAAGCCCCAGGACTAGCAAAAAACAAAATGCAAAAAACATCAGCATCCCTCAAATTTTCCTATGAAACAGAAAGGGAAGGAACACTACTGAACTCATTCTATGAAGCCAACATTACACTCATTCCAAAACTGGATGGAGAGACAAAGAACAACCTTAGATGAACACAGATTCAAAACCCTCAATAAAATACCGACAGAACTCAACAACTGATCACAAAGATTATATATCATGATCAGATTGGTTTCATTTTAGGTGTGCAAATCTGGACCAACATATATATATATAGCACATATATACATGTATGTATATAACCAATATATCACCAAAATATATTTATTTTACATAAACAGAACCATATAATTATCTCAATGATACAGAAAAGGCCTTTGGCAAACTTCAACATCCTTTTCTGATAACAGCTCTGAAGAAATTAGGAATACAAGGAATGTACCTTAACGTAACAAATACTATATATATGACAAACCTTAGCCAATGTCATACTACTTGGGGAAAACTGAAACCATTTCCTCTAAGAACAAAGTAAAGATGTCTGTTCTCTTCTCTTGTTCAATACAGTACTAGAATTTCTAGACACAACAGTAAAGGAAGAGAAAGAAATAAAAGGGATCGGGGCTGGGGAGGTGGCTCAGTGGTAGAGCGCTTGCCTTGCATGCATGAGGCCCTGGGTTCGATTCCCCAGCACCACATAAGCAAAAAGAAAAAAGCCAGAAGTGGCGCTGTGGCTCAAGTGGTAGGGCGCTAGCCTTGAGCTGAAGAGCTGAGGGACAGCGCCCAGGCCCAGAGTTCAGGCCCCACGACCAGACCCCCCCCCCAAAAAAAGAAAAAGAAATAAAAGGGATCAAAATAGTGAAGAAAGAAACTATCCCTACGTAAACGACCCCAAAGACACCATACCCAAACTTCTAGAACTTGTGAAGGCCCTGGGCATGGGTTTCAGAAACACTTGTGATAGAGGAGTTTGGAGCCCAGATAGGACAAAAATTCACAGAGGAATCTGGCACGGGGTTCTTGGCAGAGCTTTTATATATTAATTTGGTTTGACAATGAGTTTTTAGAGGGTTTCTATTTTTCACTTTATAAGAATCTTTGAAGATTGTTGAGAATACATCAGTATTTCCCATTTACCTGAGTATAAAAATAGCTAGAGTTAATGGCTCATGCCTGAAATCTTAGCTGCTCAGGAGGCTGGGATGTGAGGAACATGGTTCAAATAAAGCCAGCCTGGGAAGAAAAAAGTCTATGACTTTTCTTTTCCCCCAAAAAGCTGGAAGCGAAATTGTGGCTCAAGTGGCAAAGTACCAGACTTGAGCAAAAGAGAGAAGAGACAGCAGCACTCAGGTCCTTAGTTCAAGCCCCAGTATCAGCACACACAAAAAAAAGATGGCTACAAATACTTAGCATCTACTCTGTGATAGGGACTGTTTTAAGTAGCTTTTACATGACCTCAATGAATTCACTCTACAAAAATGTGGAAGTAACTCTTATTGCTCTGTCCAGACCTGAACTCGGGCAGTCTCATTCCTGAGACTCTAGAAGTATATCATAGGTCTCTCTAAACAACACAAAATATATCAGCAATGAAAGTGGATGGGTGAGAATGTTGAAAAGGATGGCATTGATCAAGATGCACTATATTCATAAACTGCTTTGTTAAAGGGCAACTCTTTTGTACAACTACTTAAAGATAATAACATTTAAAAATAAAGACAAAAAAAATGAGAAAGAAGCCAGGTGCCAGTGGCTCACACCTACAATGCTAGCAACTCAGCAGGCTGAGATCTGAGGATCGTGGTTCAAAGCCAGCCTAGGGAGGAAAGTCCATGAGACTCCTATCTCCACTAAAACTACAAAAAGAAAAGCTGGAAGTGGAGGCGTGACTCAGGTGGTAAAGAGCTAGTCTTGAACACAAAAGCTCAGGAACAGTGTCTAGGCCCAGAGTCCTAAGCCCAGGACTGGCACCAAAAAAAAAAAAAAAAAAGACTGAACTCTGGGCCTGGGTGCTGTCCCTCAGCTCTTCAGCTCAAGGCTAGCGCTCTACCACTTGAGCCACAGCGCCACTTCCAGCTTTTTTCTTTTTGCTTATGTGGTACTGAGGAATTGAACCCAGGGCCTCATGCATGCAAGGCGAGCGCTCTACCACTGAGCCACCTTCCCAGCCCTCTCATTTAGCTTTTATAGGCACTCAACCACTCGAGCCATGCCTCCAGTCTGACATCTTGCTGGTCAGTTGGAGATGGAGTCTTGTGGAGTTCTCTGTCTGGGCTAGCTTTGAAGCATGATCCTCTAGGTCTCAATCTCCTAAGTAGCTGGGATTACAGGCACGAGCTGCCAATGCCCACCACTTTCAAGTGACATTCCAATGGGAACAACAAATTGATGTTGTGATGATTTTAAACATATAACTGGAAGGTTTATATGATAACATTGTGTTTTCTTCAGCAGTGTTTTCATGCTTTTACTTTTCAGTACCAAAAACACTTTATGCACATGTTAATTGTGCCTAAGTTTCAGCTCTCTCTTCTGCATTATCCTCTAGCCACACATGTGCTGACCCTGTCTACCTGCTCCAGGACGCAGCCATTAGTATTCATCATAGGGATTGTTTGAAGCCCATGACATTGTACGAGACAACTGTCAGCTTCCATTCAGAAATGAACCTTCTCTTTTTTTTTTCCATTCATAAAATGGAGAGATCAAATTGCTCCTGCCACTCCCTTTCAATTGGCAATCCTTTATAAATCTGTGATTTAGTGTATGAAACCTATAGTTGGGGACAGTCTCTGATGCTCTTGGTTTAGCATTGTCTTCCCAAGAGCTATTTGTATTCAAAACCTGCTGCCCCGATCCTAGTGACAGGCAAGCAACAGCAGCTCTAAATTCCCTCTGTTGATTGAAAGAAGCTGTAACAAAGACGATTCAGAAATCACCTTTGAGGGCAAGACAATATACAGAGATCTATGGTTTCATTATTTCCTTTTGTAGCACCAGCAACAGCAGCAGCAAATGACACAAATGCCAGACACAGTACTTAAATATAGTGGGGTCTTAACACATGCTAACCTTCAGCCAGGTACCAGTGGCTCATGCCTATCATCCTAGCTACTCAAGAAGCTAAGATCTGAGGATCGAGGTTTGAAGCCAGTGTAGGGAGGAAAGTCCGTGAGACACTCACCTCCAGTTAATTAGCAAAAAGCTGGAGATGGAGCTGTGGCTCAAAGTGGTAGAGCTAAGGAATAGGACTCAAGCTCTGAGTTCAAGCTTTCATACGTGTGTGTGTGTGTGTGTGTATGCACATGCGCATGTGTGCACTCATGCTCACATAATAGGACACGCAAAAAATCTTGACCTTTTTTTTTGGGGGGGGGCAATAGCAGAGTCTGAACTCCGTACTTGCCACTTGAGCCATGTCCCAGACACTTTTTTAAAATTAGGGTCTTACATTTATGCCCAGGGCTGGCCTAGACCATGATCCTCCTACTTACACTTTACAACAAATTGGGCACCTCTATGCTCAGCTTTCAGTTGAGATGGGGAGGAAGGGATACATGTAATTTTTCTGCCTGAGCCGGTCCTCCATCTCTATTCTCCTGCTTCCTGAGTAGTTGGGATTACAGGCATGAGCCACTACACCAGGCATATTTTCCTTCTTCCTCCTTTTTTTTTCTAACTGTAGACTAGGAGCTACATACCATTTTGTGAACATCTCAACCAGAAGGTGGAGCAGTGGCTGAGGCCTAGTACAGGACAGAGAGGCAGCGACTCTAGGTAAAGATTGAGACTCACCTACAAAAACTTACACATCTTTCCTTCTACATGTACATCAGTCTAATTTTTTTTTGTATTTACACCTTTATAATGAGAGAGAATACCATGCCACTCTCTTTTGTCTCTAGGTCTTGGCAATGAATTAGAATCACCAGAAGAGATCCCTAAAAATGCTCTATGCCCAGATGGCCCCCAGGCTTACCCACCCTCAGAGGGCAGGCTGATGGCCTGGAAGCACTCATGCCTTTTTGTTTCACAACTGCAGTCCACAGCAGCATGCACACCGCAGGGCACACACATCACAGCCCCCTTACCTGGGTGATCTCATTAATGACCACGTGATTGCACTGTGCTTCATACTCAGGCCGCGGCTGCTCTTCTTGCTGCAGCTCAACGGTGTCCCATTCATACTCGAGTTCTGCCTGCCGCCGCTTCCAAAACTCCAGAAACAGAGTCACTAAGGAAGGAAGAGAATGGAGCCAGATGCATTTGTGATGAGGAGCATGGCATATGAGCCTTAATTATTTTGGTCATCTATGATACTTTTGTACATTTCAAATTCTAATCTAGAAGTGATGCTAATATTTGAAGGGAAGATTGTTTTTCAAGAAAAAAAATGTTGACTGGGTGCTGGTGGCTCACCCCTATAATTCTAGCTGCCCAAGAGGCTGAGATCTGAGGATCTTGTCAGGCCAGGCCATAATGTCCATGAGTTTTTTTTTTTTTTGGTCGGTTGTGGGGCTTGAACTCTGGGCCTGGGTGCTGTTCTTCAGCTCTTCAGCTCAAGGCGAGCGCACTACCACTTGAGCTATAGCGCCACTTCCGGTTTTCTGGTGGTTTATTGGAGATAGGAGTCTCACGGACTCTCCTGCCTGGGCTGGCTTTGAACCGTGATCCTCAGATCTCAGCCTCCTGAGTAGCTAGGATTACAGGCATGAGCCACCAGCGCCCGGCTTGTCCATGAGTTTCTTATCTCCAGCTAGCCAACAAAAAGCCGGAAGCAGAGGTGTGGCTCAAGTGATAGACTGAGGATAGTGCAGGTATGCATACATGCACACATACACTCACACACAATCCTGTTGTACTGTGGCACAGTGCTGCCCTGGGAAGGGATTAAGTGTTTTTCAAGGAATTCCAGTTAGTTCCCAAGAAAGAGGAATGACCTAAAAATGAGACTGGTCCCACCTCAGTCCCATCTCGCTTCCTGTCTTGCTCTAAGATCTCTTTTAGAGTGCTCGGTCATGATGCTACCGGTCACTTAGCACAGCCAAGGGGGTTCTGAGCAGGGTGGAACCGAGAGGGGCTCCATGTTCTGGAACGTTCAAAATTGTGAGCTAAATACATCCCTTCTTTATCCATGATCTACCTTCAGGAACTTTGTTATAGCCATGGAAAGCAAACAAATACAGTGCCTACAGGCATCATGGAACAAACCAGTATGGATCTCCTATAAGCCTGTGAAAAGGAGAATGGTGGTTTCTTATTTCCACTGTAGAATGATGAGTGTGTACTGAGGGCAGATGAGGTAGAACCAAGAAGACAGAACCGACATTTTCTAACTTTTTCCTATTGTTTTTAGTGCCTCAAACCAAACAGTGCAATTATACAATCAAAGTAATTTTTTTGTGTGCTAGTATTGGAAGCTTGACCTCAGGGCCTGAACACTGACTTGACATTCAGGGCCAGCACTCTACCTCTTGAACCACACTCCACTTTCAGCTTTTTGGTAGTTAACTGGAGATCAGAGTCTCATGGACTTTCTGGCTGGCACTGTCTTTGAACCCTGATCCTCAGATCTCAGCCTCCTGAGTGGCAAGGATTATAGGGGTGAGCTACCAGAACACACCTGAACATCAAAATTTCTGCATCTTTTTGTAAGTAAAGCTACACACTAATATACATTGTATTTTGTCATTGATCCAAAAGCTGAGAATGGAATCCAAATGATTTCCAGAGTTCTTTATGTATGTCACTTTCTGTCTGTGGCACCTTAGGTAATTTGCATAGTTTGCCTGTGGTGTCATTTTCTGCATCTTTAAAAATCACATCATTTACTCAGTCTGTCTAGCAACAGTATCAACAGATTCAAGCAACTAAATGTTCCTGTTTCCACAGAAAACATCGTAAGCAATCCTAATGGATGTCAGAAGCAAAGAACAATGGAAGCCCTCCCCGCCTCGCCCCTCCTCACTGAGTGGAAACATGACATAAAGAAGTGGCAGATGCTATGGCCAGGTGTGTTGTTAAGAAATGGCTGGATGTGGAGTTGTTGGAAAATCCTCAACCATGAAGGCAAACTACTGGGAGTTGTAGGAAACAGAAGGTGTTGAGTTTTCTCATATCCCAAAGACTATGGAACATACTAGTCACCCAATGCTATGAAGTAACCCACAGCTGATGCGCACATTGTGTGTCCCAGATCAAGCGTCCCAGGGTGAGGCAGCGGTGGCTATGTCTGACTGGATGCTGGTTTCCTGTGTTGTAGATCCTTTGTTCTGACTCCCCTGCAATATGGTTCAGGCACAGTGCCCAGGCCCTGAGTTCAAGCCCCACTGGCCAAAGAAGAGAAAAAGTTCCTGGTTATGTGGCACTGGTAGTGTTACATCCTGATACGAGGATAAGACTCTGGCAGATGAGAGTAGTTTGGTTGCTTTAACAATGTACTGGTGAACTTCTGAGCTATTTTGGCAATTCTCTAATATTCGGTCCTCATTGTTCACACACTGCTATAAAGTAGAATAGTTTTGTTACCTTCCTAACCACTGTAATCCTAGGCTGAAATCTAAGGATCGCAGTGTGAAGCCAGCCTGGCCAAAAACATTGAGACTCTTATTGCCAATTAACTACCCCCAAATTGGAAGTGATTAAGTGATAGAGAACTAGCCTTGAGTAAAAAAGCTCAAGGACAGTGCTCAGGCCCTGAATTAAGGCCTCAGGACTGACACACACACACACAAACATGCACACACATGTGCGCACATACACACACACAGACAACAAAACCCCTCAGTACTCCAATGTGAAAACTGAAGACTGTACTCATTCAGCCAAGAGTCTGGGCCAGGGAAAATCAGGTGGAAAGCGGTAAGCAACATCCGGGAGGGAGGGAGGCAGGTGGAAGGTATTCACAACCTCTGCTTCAACCATGGGTTGCGTTTAGGACTCCATGGATCACAGCAATCCAGTGGGCTGGCTTGGCTTTGTTCCCGATAAATAGCTGATTTGTACTGTGTTGACGACACAAGTTTTGCTGCCCTCCGCGCTTTCTTATTTCTAGGGAGCAGAAAAATACTCTAAGTGGCGCGTGCATCTGGGCACAGAGGAGAGGCTCCAGGAATAGCTCGCTGGTGATAATGAGGAACTTCGCAGGAGCCCCTGCCTGTGCCGTTCTGTCGCCTCAGACTTTCTGTAATGAGGTTCACAGCAGTAGTTCTCATGAGGCAGAAGTAACAAGGAAAGCCACATAAAGCACTTAAAAACTCCATCATCATACTCATCCTTAAAGACAGACCTTGGTTGCGACACGCAGCGCTGGAATGCACTCTGCACGCTAAACTCGGTGAAATGAACCACCCGCCCCATGCACAAGGCAGTTCTGGAAACATGGTGTAGTTAATCGTCAGAGGAAGGAAGTCAGGCTAGGGAACTACAGGTGTGGTTTTCCTAGTCAAAAATTCATCTTTTTTTTTTCTTATGGGCAATAACACCATGGTACTCACTAGATACTATGAGGAACATGAACCACACAACTTGTAGGCGGAGGAAAAACTGGGAGAGAGTGAGGGAAGGGTGGAGTTGTTCAAAAGAAATGTACTCTATACCTGACTTATGTAACTGTAACCCCTCTGTACATCACCTTTAGAATAACTTTTTTTTAATTGGATATACAGGCATCCATTAGTACATGGAGTTTGAGAGATTGTGTGAGAACTTTAGCGGTTACAAATCAGCCCCTGTGATGTGGACAGAAGGGAACCTTACTTCATTGTTGGTGGGAATGTAAACTTGTTCAACCACTTTGGAAAGTAGTATGGAGGTTCCTCAAAAGACTCCACATAGAGCTCCCCTATGACCCAGCAATCCCACTTTTGGGCATTTAGCCAAATGATCACAAACAAGGCCATACTAAGGCTACCAGCACAACTATGTTTATTGCAGCATTATTTACTATAGCTAAGATATGGAACCAACCCAGATGCCCCTCAGTAGATGAATGGATCAAGAAAATGTGGTATATACACAATGGGATTCTATGCCTCTATCAGAAAGAATGACATTGCCCCATTTGTTAGGAAATGGAAAAACTTGGAAAAAATTATATTAAGTGAAGTAAGCCAGGCCCGAAGAAACACAGGTCCCATGGTTTCCCTTATTTGCAATATCTAGTATATGTATGAGTCAACCAGAAAAGGTCAGACAAGGTGATGTTAGGAAAATGAACCCTAAGATATGTATTCAAATGTTTTTTTTTCTTTCATGCATTTGTTTTTAACGCATTTATAAGATTATTTCTTTGTTGCTTTGTATGTCCCTCCCCCACAGTATAACCCCTGCTTTCACTGTATTTGATGTCGGTATAATTTATGGAGGGGAAGGGGAAAAACAAGTCATTTAAATAAGGATACAGGTGGACCCATTGCAACAATGAGAAGTACAAGTTGTCATGTCGAGAACGAACTTTACAACTTTGGGGGGGGAGGGTTGGGGAGGGAGGCTGGGAAGGGATGGGAAGGGGAAACAAAGGAAGAGGCTACAATGCTTGATAAGAAATGTACTCATTATCTTGCCCATCTAATTGTAACCCCTCGTACAGTATTTTCACAATAAAAAATAAAAATTAAAAAAAATAAACAAATCAGCCCCTGTGAACATAGTTAAGACAAAGTGCTGACCCATGCATGCAGTATCTATGTTCTTGCTAGAGAAAAAAATGTATTTTATTAGAATGGAGGAGTGCAAAGGATTTGGGTGTGTATGCTAGTCAGAACTGGGGCTCAAACTCAGGGCCTGGGCATTGTCCCTTAGCTTTGTCACTCAAGGCTGGTGCTCTACTACTTGAGTCATAGCTCTACTCTGGCTTTTTGGTGGCTAATTGGAGATGAGTCACCTGCACTTTCCTGCCTAGGATGGCTTTGAACTACAATCTTCATATCTCGTTTATAATTCTGCAATTAAAGGAATTAACTGTCGCATTCCATTAATGAGGGAATGCTGAGTATGTAAGTTGAACCTAGCATTCAAGTTCTTATAGAGAATTTATAATTTTTAGGATTCTAAACTTAAAGAGAATTTATAATTTTTAGGACTGTATCTAAACTTAGATTCTTTTTTTTTTGGGGGGGGGTGGGTCAGTCAGGGGCTTAGAGCCTGGATTGCTGTCTCAGCATTTTCACTCGAGGCTAATGTTTTTATCACTTTGAGCCACAGTGCCACTTCTGGTTTTCTAGATAAGTTTTGGAGATCAGAGTCTCATGGACTTTCCTTCCCAGGCTGGCTTCAAACACTGATCCTCAGATCTCAGGCTCCAGGTGTGAGCCACTGGCACTTGGCTTAAACTTAATGCTCTTTAGGGCTGTATTCCAACAGAATAAGTTATTATTATAAAACTAATGAATACCTATTAAGTCTTCACTCATACATACATATAAAAAAGCACAAAACACGGCTGGGAATGTTGCTTAGTGGTAGAGTGCTTAGCTAGCATGCATGAAGTCCTGGGCTCGATTCCTCAGTACCAAATAAACAGACAAAGCTGGAAGTGGCACTGTTGCTCAAGTGGTAGAGTGCTAGACTTAAGCAAAAGAAGCTCAGGGACAGTGCCCAGGCCCTGAGTTCAAGCCCCAGGACTAACAAAAAAAATTGTACTCTTTATGTGACTTATACAACTGTAACCTCTCTGTATATTACTTTTATAATAATAGTTTTATAAAAAGCTCATCCATAATCCTTGTGTTTCTTCTCCCACCCCCATAAAAGTTAAGTTGGGTCCACAGTTCTTGGAGTTGTTGCCCTATTGGTTCAGCATCTCTGAACCAAACATCTGAAACCCAAAATGCTCCCAAATCTGAAACTCTGTGAGTTGTGGACATGATGCTCCCAAATCTGGAGCATGCTCCCAGACTGTTGGACTAGAGATATTCAACCAGTAAAGACCATGCAAATATCTCCAGATCAGAGAAGACTCTAAAATCCTTCTGATCTCAAGCACTGGGGATGGATGAGGGGCGGGGTCATCAAACTGTCATGGCTTCCGGCGAACCTTCCTTCCTGCTTCCCACCCTTGGAGGCCCACAGAACTTGCTTCAGCTGATGATGGGTCCTTGTTAGCACACTTGATGTAATGCATTGAGGCTTCTCTTTGGAAGCCTGAGGGATCTTGGGCTGGTTTATTTGGGGTGAGAGACTATCTATCCAAGGCCTTCTTATTATCAGAACATCCATTACCCATTGGGCCACGGGCTCACCACAGAGATCACCCAAGCCAGCTGGTCCAGAGAATTAGAAGAAATAATCAAAGAGGAAAGCAGGTGTGTTGTACTAAGCTACTACATTTCGAAGTATTTTTATGCAAGGAGAGCTGGCACAATGGCCTCCTACTTACAAATACAGTATGAGGAAAGCAGAAGTATACACAATAGGAGGGTCTATATGTGGGTACTTTGATAGCCTATCTAAAACCACATACTACCATGCAGTGCATGAAAAGGTAAAAAAAAACACTTACCCCATATTCCCATAAATACTGCAAAGACAAGGGTTCCAAAACTGTCAAAGATGCACAATTTCTATAAAAAAAAATGACATACAAGGATATATAATGACAATAATGACATATAAATTAAGTTCTTCCCTTAGAAGAACTCAGGAAATACACAACACTTTTTGACTTTGAATAACATTCTTCAATCTGCAGGCTATGTGTGTATTTCTGTTTGTACCAAACCAAATCTTGAATTCAGGGCCTAGGTGCTATCCCTTAGCTTTTTCCGCAAAAGACTAGCACTCTACCACTTGGGCCACAGCTCCACTTCTGGGTTTTTGGCATTTCATTGTAGATAAGAGTTTCATAGACTTTCCTGGCTGGGCTAGCTTCAAACTGTGATTCTCAGAACTCAGCCTCCCAAGTAGCTAGGTTGACAAGCAATGAGCCCTGGGCAACCCCCTTCTAAAATGGCTTCTATTTATGAACTGCCATATGGAATATGAGGAAGGCATGCAATGGCTCTAACAACAAAATACTCCCTGGACAACTCTGAGATGTATGATTTGGCTAGCATCATCCCACCCTCCTCAGAAGCCAATCTCCAGAATGTCTTCCCTTGTTGTGGAAAGAAGCACAAAACTGGTTTATGCGGAGATGGCTCTCATGGAGGAGAGCTCTGCTTCTTCTCAACCAAGGATGGCTTTTCTCCTGTGGCTGGCAGGCATCTCCACTGGGGAGAGGTTGCACAAGAACTTAATAAGCGTAACTGTCAGCAAACCTCCCCAAAGAAGGGGGCTATTCACTGGTTCTGCTAAGTTTGATTTCTTGTTAATATACAAATTACCTATCTCCTTATAGGATGTTCTGAGAAATTACTAATTTTTTTTATTAGAAAACATGTTTGTATTTTCTAAAGAAAAAAAGCTGTAGAGATAACAGAGTAGACACCAGTGGCTCATTCCTGTAATCCTACTATATCCAGGAAGGACTGTGGTTCAGAAAGAGATTAGAAGGATTATGGTTCAAGCAGAAAAATATATAAGACTCCATCTCCAAAATAATAAGCAAAAAGGTAGGCTGGAGGCATGGTACAAGTAGTAGAGTGCCAGTTGAACAAGCAAGCTGAGCATGTGAAGGGCCCTGAGTTTATAACTCCAGTGTCAGCACTACTCAGCTTTTTGCTGGTTAATCGAAGATATGAGTCTCATGAACCAGGTGCTGGTGGCTCATGTCTGTAATCCTGGCTACTCAGGAGGATGAGATCTGAGGATTGAGGTTTGAAGCTACTTCAAGCAGGAAAGTCCTTGAGACTCTTGTCTCAAATTAATTACCATGAAGCTATTCATGGAGCTGTGGCTTAAGTGAGAGAGAGTTTAGTCTTGAGCAAAGAAGCTCAGAGACAGCATCCAGGCCTTGAGTTCAAGCACAAAGACAGTACCAAAATTTAGAAAACAAGAAATCTTGATGGACTCTCCTGCCCTGGCTGGCCTTGAACTGTGTTCCTCAGATCTCAGCCTCCTGAATAGTTAGGATAACAGCCATGAGCCACTGGTGCCTGCTTCAATTTATTATTCATAACAGAAGAATAAAATATGTAGTTCAGACCATACTAAAGCTACCAGCACAACTATGTTTATTGCAGCATTATTTACCATAGCTAAGATATGGAACCAACCCAGCTGCCCCTCAGTAGATGAATGGATCAAGAAAATGTGCTATATACACAATGGAATTCTTTGCCTCCATCAGAAAGAATGACATTGCCCCATTTGTTAGGAAATGGAAAGACTTGGAAAAAATTCTATTAAGTGAAATAAGCCAGGCCCAAAGAAACATAGATCTCATGGTTTCCTTATTTGTAATAACTAGTATATATTTGAGACAAGCAGAAAAGGTCAGATAAGATGATGTTAAGCAAAATGAACCCCAAGATAAGGACTCAAATGTTTTTCTTTCTTGCTATTGTTTCTAACATATTTATAAGGTACCACATGATTTTTTTGTTGCTTTGTATGTCCCTCCCCCACGGTATAACCCATTTTCATTGTATTTGATGTTGGTATAATTTGGAGAGGGGAAGGGAAAAACCATACATTGCAGCAATGAAATGTACAAGACGCTATGTTGAAAACCAAACTTTACAATTTGGGGGGGGCCCACAAATGTAGTTGAGGAGGTGGGAGGGAAGGGTAGGGGAAAAACAAAGGAGGAGGCAACAATGCTTGATAAGAAATGTACTCATTACCTTACCCATGTAATTGTAACCCCTCTGTACAGTATTTTCACAATAAAAAAAACTTATTTAAAAAAATATGTAGTCCATATTATCTTCTGGAATGTTTGGAAGCTTCACTGAAAAGGACCTTTGTGAAATCCCCAGAAAGAAAAAAGTTAATTCTTACGCCATGCACAATGACCACCAGGAAAGCTTGGTTATGTATAAATATTTAGAACAGGAAATATTACCTTGGATGATTCGCAAGTAATATTCAGGTTCCAGAACGGACAGAGTTTATCGCACTGGGGACACATTACAATCTTGCCACCAATATCAGGATTACACACTTCTTTGCTAAAGAAGAGAGGAAAATACAACTTAATTTAAAAGTTTTAGTGGAGTAGCAGAGTGGTAGAGTACCAGCCGTGAGTGAAAAAGCTAAGGGATAGTGCATCCAGGTCCTGAGTTCACGCCCCAGTACTGGTACACAAAACAACAAAAACCAAAAAAACTAACCAGCCAACTAAGCCAATAATGGCCCTGCCCCAACCCCAATTTATGAGAGTTGGCCCAGTAACTTAGCAAAGTGAAAACTGACATTTCCACAAATGGGATTGCATGATAGAATATACATATGGAGAACCAAGCAATTGAACTCTCCCAAACCACACACAATTCATAGCTAGGTAGGAAATAAGAATGCCAATGGTACCAAAAAAGGGAAAAAATCCGACAACCTTAGGGTAAGGAGATAGTTCATAAATATCAAACAAAGAAGCATAAACCATAAAGAAAAAAAATACTAACATGTTTCAAATGAAGAAATGCTGTTAATTAAGAAAATTAAAGGGTGGGGCTGGGAAGGTGGCTCAGTGGTAGAGCACTTGCCTTGCATGCATAAGGCCCTGGGTTCGATTACTCAGCACCATATAAGCAAAAAGAAAAAAAGCCGGAAGTGGCGCTGTAGCTCAAGTGGTAGAGTGCTAGCGTAGAGCTGAAGAACTGAGGGACAGTGCCCAGGCCCAGAGTTCAGGCCCCATGACCGGACCCCCCCCAAAAAAAAGGAAAAAAAAAAAGAAAATTATAGGGTAAGAAGAAAAAACCTAGCCACAAGCTGATAACTTTGAATTATGGAAAAATGGCCAGCCACTGGTACTTTATACCTGTAATCCTAAATACTCAGGAGGCTGAGATATGAGGACCACAGTTCAAAGCCAGCCTAGGAAGGAAAGTCCATGAGACTCACATCTCCATTTAACCACCAAAAAGCTGGATGTGGAGCTGTAGATCAAGTGGTAGAGCACCATCCTAGAGCATAAAACCTACAGGACAGAATCTATGCCCTGAATTCAAGCCCCACTAGTAGCATGCACACACATACAACATATACATATACACACACACACACACATATAAATCAACCTTGGCAAAAGTCTAGACTGCCCTTCTTGGAAGAATATTTTAAGGAATTTAGTTAAATCTCTGTGTGAGCAGTGAACTTTGTGGCTTATTAACTTGACTAGTTCCCATCCTTACTCCCCATAGAAGCTTTACAAGCCAACAGGCTCTCAACCACAGTAGTTATTAAAAACAACAACAACAACAACAAAAACGAAACAAAACAGCTGCCTGGTGCTGATGTCACCCCTATAATCCTCGCAACTCATGAGGCTGAGGTCTGAGGGTTGTGGTTCAAAGCTAGCAGGGTTACAAAAGTCCAGTTAACCATCAGAAAACTGGAAGCGGGAGCTGTGGCTCAAAGTGATAAGAGTACTAGCCTTGAGTGAGAGAGTTCAGGGACAGCGCCCAGGCCTGGAGTTCAAACATAATGACTGACAAAAAAGAAAAACAAAACAAAACACAGCCTAGTGTGCGTGTGTGTGTGTGAACAATTAGTTTGGAATAACCCCAACAACTTACTCCAGAGTGCTATCTCTATCTGACCTGTCTAACAGCTCCCTGGAAAAAGCTCCATGCTGAGAATTTGCCATTTGTGACCTGATCCTCAGCGCTCAGAATGGGCAATCAGCCCCAGCCCTCCTGTGTCTGCCCGCGGCAATCAAGAGCAATGGACACTGCGGTTGCCTGCCGCAAGGGGACCTGCAGCCTCAGCCCCACATCTTGAGAATGAAGTCTGAGGCGTCTAGATTAAATCGCTCCAACACATTCCTGGCCAGGCATGTGAATAAGATGGTGCACGAGGCCTAGAAAGTACAAAGAAAAAAAAATCCTAATTCCTCTTGTCTGGTTAAGCCTGAAGCAAGAAGAAAAGTTTAAAATCCCCTTCTAGATAGAGGGAAGATCAAGAGTATCTTCCCCTTCTGTACACATGCTGTTAAAACCAGACAGAAGTGTATTTGGTAGGGGTAAAAATAGGCAACTTTAAAAAATACACCAAATGGGAAGAAATTATAAATACACAATCTCATTCAGTAGTTATTTCTGCAGTGAAAAGGGAGAGGACAAAATGAGCTAAGTACAAGCATGCAAGTGTGTGTGTGTGTGTGTGTGTGTGTGTGATATGTGTGTCTGTGTGATGTGTGATGTGTGTGATGTGTGTGTGTGTGTGATGTGTGCCAGCGCTGGGGTTTGAACTCAGGGCCTGGGTAATGTCCCTTCGGTTTTATGCTCTAGGGTGGTGCTCTATCACTTGATCCACAGCTCCACTTCTGGAGCATTACTGGTTTCCCACTGGAACTCTGAAGAAATCTGAGCTGTGTGGGACCCAGATCAGCAAGACTGGTGACAAAGCGTTCATCTGAGGCCAGGAGTTCAAGGGCAATCCTCCCTCAAGCCCTCCTTTCTTTTTTCAAACAAAGAATTGTCTCAAAATAGTGATGTGTTTCCTGAGGGAAATGTTCCTGTCAGAGCCTGGGCTGGCTTACCTGAGAATTATTTTGTTTGAATTTTATTTAGTTAGTAGACTCAGCACAAAGGGGCTCTATCATCTTAAACAATGAGTGTTCCACTATGAGTCTTCTTTTACCAAAACCCTGCAAATACTTTCATGGATAATGAACTTTGTGGCACAGCGACATGGAACCAGTGGAGATTACCTCCAAGTGCAGTTTTCCTGATCAAAATATCCATAAAGAAAGCAGGCCACGCCCACAACAGCAGCCAGGAGCAGCATCTGGGTGTAATAGCCCAGCCAGGCAAAGTAGATTCCAATCTTCTCTCCATAATACTTCCTGAAGAAAGAAATCACTTTTAGAAGACACAAATAACCACTCTGCCACTTTGCAAGTGAATAGCTCTCTTTTTTTAAAAAATAAAAGTCTTTGATACGTTCAAACTTGACTCAATTCACTTTGAGAACACATGTATTTACCCAGTAGACCTGAGAGTCAAACACACTATCCTGAAACAGAAGTATATCCTTGCTATGCATCAGGAAGTTGGGCATCGATGGCTCAGGTCTGTAACCCTAGCTACTCTGGAAGCTCAGCTATGAGGATCATAGTTTGAAGTCAGTTGAATCCAGAAAGTCTGTGAGACCTTTGCTCTAATTAACCACCAAAAGACTGGAAGTGGAGGTGTGGCTCAAGTGGTAGAGGAATAGCTTTGAGTGAAAAAGCTCAGGGACAGTGGCCAGGCCCCACAACTCACAAAAGAAGAAACCAATGAAGTAACAGTTCAGATGACTCTTGCTGCCCTACACTGATTCCCTTCTGATCTGTAGAACCTGACGATTTCCTTTGAGATGATGCTGATGTAAGAGTCCAGGCTAGGATGGAGCGAGGTAGACCTTGCCTTCTGGGGACTTAGCTCTCAGCACAGCCTGTACCCCTTAGTGGCTTCAGAAAGGAATCATCTTTGGAAGGAATTAAGAGAGTTCTCATGAGACCCTGAGTGAGCTCTTGCAAGAGGGATGTTATTAAAAAAGAAAAAGAAGAGAAAAAAAAAAGAGCATCAACAGCCCCGCTTCCTTTTGGCTTCTGGTCCTGCCATGTGTCTTTTCCTGGTAGAGTCCTGCTATGGTGTCCATCATGAGGTGGAGACTAGAGGACTTCTAAGTGCTGGTACTCTGCACTTTCTACTTTTCAGGCTCCTGAACTGGGCGCTAAGTAAACCTCTCTTCTTCATCTAGCATCCAGACTCAAGTATTTTGTTACAGTGATTCAACATAAAGTAACACAGTCTTCTTCTACTCCTTTTTTTTTTTTTAGTTGGTTGTGGGACTTGAACTTGGCCCCTGGTCACTGTCCCTGAGCTCTTTTGCTCAAAGCTAGCACTCTACCATTTGGAGCCATAGCACCACTTCCAGTTTTCTAGTGGTTAACTGGAGATGAGTCCCATGGATTTTCCTGTCTAGGTTGGCTTTGAACGATGATCCTCAGATCTCGGCCTCCTGAGTAGCTAGGATTATAGGCCTGAGCCACCAGTGCCCAGCTAACACAGTTCTTATAAACTATCATCCCTTGGTCACAACTTATTTGAAATTGCTAAGAATCTCAGATGCTGCCCCACCCAACCTCTCCCAAGTAGTAAAAATTATTCTGCCATATTTAATAGCACTGGTCAGGCATATACTCTGCTTAGAGACCGGTAATAATAGAGAGTTGGTTATATTCTGCTATCCTGTAAGCAAGGCCTAAAAAGGTTCTAAGGCTGAAATGGAAACTCCTCTCCTACTTCTGAGAAGCAAGGAGTCATGAAGGACCTCTCCTTTCAAATGAGATGTCTTTTGACCACTGTCTCTCTACCAAAACTACCTCAACTCTCCATTGAAAAGCTTTGATTAGGTTTCCCCCCACCCTCATTTCTCCCTTTCCTTCTCTTCCTGCTGTATAGCCTGGGCTGGCCTTGAACTCATGATCCTCCCTGAGATGAATGGGGACAGGGATAAGCATGCCAAGGCCAATCAGGTGCTCAGAGAGAGAGCTGGGTCTGTGAGTCAAAAGATATTGGTCCTATGTGCAGGGTTCGCTTACCTGATGAGATCCAGGGGCTGTTTCTTGTATATGCTCCGAGGATGCGCCCACTCTCTGTACAGAAGGTAGCGTTCATTGGGGCAGCTGGGATCTTCCGACGGAGAGCTGAAATTGCACTGAGTAGCAAAATGGAACAAATTAATGTCTTAGTCATCCCGTTTCCCCACAAATCTGTGGCTTACATGTGGCGCTCCTGGGGGTAGTATTTCGTAGTCATTTGTGACAACGGGGGGAAATGCACATCCGGGAAGGGGTCAAAAATACCACTTTAATTAACTTGCAGTGATTCTGCACCAGGGCCATGACTCCCCCCGAGGGGGGGGGGCACTTGCCATCACTGATGGTGAGGGACAGCGTGGATGACAGTGTTGGGAGGCAATGCAGGTACTCAGCAGGAGCCTCAAGGTTGCTTAGTGTCCTACCCATGGGAGCAGTCCTAAGCAATGAAAATTTGGGATACTCGAGTTTTCTGAATTCCCCCGCCAGGGAGGGACATCTTATAACCAATCCCTCTCCTTGGATAACCAGGGCATTAACAAAAAACCAGGCTCTTTTGTCCCTGATTCAATAGTTCTTAAGAAAACATAGAAAATAGGCAAAGAAAGAAACTTGGTATCATGTTATACACTTAGCATATTCAAGAAACAAAACCTCCTGCCTTTGCTTGCATTCCATCACCTTTCTCTTGTCTGATTCATTTTCTTTCTTCAAGGACTTGAGCCAGATTATCACATAGCCAAGACTCAGGGTGGGTCTTGGCCTGCACCCACCTTCCTCCCAAATACCATATAGAATGTGTCATTCCTTGGCCTGGGGATGGGACCACTGCACTTCTAAGAAGCTTTGTTGAGATAAGACCTGGGCATGAGGAAATTCCAATGGAATTCTATAGAACTATAGCACTGCAGATTCGTATTCAGGACAAGTTTTTGTTTCCAAAGTTCATGTCATGCTACAGTTAAATCTAAGAGACTGGCCAGATGATGATGGCTCACGTCTGTAATCCTAGCTACTCCAGAAGCTGAGATCTGAGAATCACAGTTCAAGGCCAGCCCCAGCAGGAAAGTCAGTGAGATTCTTTATCGCCAATGAAGTGCTAGAAAGCCAGAAGTAGAGCTGTGGCTCAAGTTGTAGAGTGCTAAGCCTTGAACTCCTCTCTCTCTCCCTCTCCCTCCCTCCCCTCTCCTCTCCCCCTCCCTCACC